AGAGAGCTAAAAAAATTGTCTAAAAATGAACCGAGTGAATTTTCGTTTGAGGCCGCCCAAAAGTTAGTCTTTTATCCAAAAAACCAAGGCTACGATTAATTATCAACACTTACCACTCCATTGATAGTGCGCCGTAGGATCTAAATAAAGCTGGCTTCCATGAACGACCGCCGTGATGAACCCCATAGTTTGTAATCATCGTATCGTTGGTTGACCTTCGCAAACAGCGAGTATCAAGTTCTAACTGTATAAGATATAGCAAGATGTTTACAGATGACACTTCGCCGATAGAGATCAAGATCCTCAAGCAAAAACACTAACCTTCAACGAACGCATCGGGCGAACACGTAGCTTTAAGCGTAAACTTTATTTCTTCCCACCGAGGACCTCTGGGCAGAAAGAAAATTAGTGAGTTTCGTCAAAGCGAAAACTATTATGCTAGGATATAAAAAAGCTAACGGAAATTTTAATGTTTATGTAGAACTGCTTCTAATATCAATCAGTTAAGAAATGTCAACGCGACTGCCTCTATTCAAAACATGCACCCAACATGCAGTCCATTGACTCCGAGTCTTATCCCAGTAAGATTTCTTGCAAAATCGAACAATCCACTTATTCGAAAAGGCATTAAGAAGAAGCGTGACTGCTGTATCGTAAACCGACATTATAGGTGGTTTGCAACTAATCTCTAGAGACACAGGTAACAATGATGAAAGGAGAAAATGTTGGTGGACGAACAAAACAAGCTAGTGACTATGGTTTACGTCCACCAACATGGCGGCAATGACGTAACGTGCAAACCACCTCTTGCCAGCATTGGGTGAACACGTAAATATTGGCACGTGATTTGACGCCAAACATCAGAGCAACAGGATTTTTCCCCGAAAAAAACAACACGGTAAAAGCTACAAATATCCTACTGCGATGTAATTTTAATTCTATTTTAGTTAGCTCCTCGATTAGTTCAAGCGCTGATACATATTAAAATTGTTCACGCAACTGCCTCTATTCAAACATGTGGTCAATCGATTCTCTCAACCAGCTATCGGTTATTATTAAAAACTGGATCATTGGATAATTCAATTCAAGACTTTTTATTGGCTAAGCCATTATGGTATATGAGCCAATATACCATAATCTACAAATATGGTAAGCGTAAGCGTCAGCTTAAAGTTAAAAGGGAGCTAAGAAATTTGTCTAAAATATAGATTTGTCTAATATCTTGGGGGCGTTTTTAATAATACAATTATTCCACTCGCCCTTGTTGGATATAAGATGATTATTGCCAACTCGGCGCTACGCGCCTCGTTGGCTATCTATCATCTCATATCCAACGCGCGCTCCTGGAATAATTGTTAATTAGTGCAGAAAAAAGACTTTAATTTATATGAATACAAGGAAAAGCGGAACATAACCAGAAGTAATTATATTTATAAGTTTTGTATATCATATCATAGTTAATAGAGGGGATTAACCAGTCCCCTCTATTAACTATGATCATATGCAAGACTGGATTCTTTATAAGCCAAAGTCTGAGGATTTCAACTCAATTTAGTTCATAATATTGCTGATGCAATTACCCCGATAACTTTAATCGGATCTTTTAATCCAGATTTTTATGACCTGTCTTTTGTAAACCATATGACAGAAAACTTCCGGTTTCAGAGGCAATAGCAATTGATTTGAACATAATGGGTGAATACATACTTTCTCTGAGGTTAACATAAGTAATATTACAAGAACTTTGATTTAGTTTATTTTTTGCCTTTTACAGCTGAACAAAAGTCAATGTTAAAATGGAAACAACGTGGATATCTACGTTTTCGTTTGTTTACAAATACAATTAGAACATAGCTAGCAGAGTCGCGCAATCAAATTCATTATACGCAAGCGCGCTCAAAATCCCGATAGTGCACGCTGATAGCGTCAGCAAATCCGACTTCGCCAGAATTTTTTTTTTCGCGCGAGTGGCCATTGTTAGCGCGGGAAAAATAATACATTTCGCGACAATAATGGATACAAACAGAGACTCGGCCTACTAGTCCGAAAACGAAGACAATGTTTGGACCTTTTCCCTTGGGCTAGAGTTCTTAAAGGAGGCAGTAAAAGAGAAAAACAAAGGAAAAGGAGACTCGGCATCAGCGCCGTCACTATTCGCTCCAACTGATATTGTTATCCGTTTTTCGCATCGGATTTGATGCACAATTCCACCGGCTATGTTCTAAAACAATTGGTTCATGCTTTCAGCTGTGCACTATCGAGTTAAGGAGCACGTGGGAAGTTTGGAGAGCACTCAAGAAGCTAGAGTTGCCCTCGGCTATCGCCTCGGGCAACTCTTACGCTTCTTTCGTGCCCTCCAAATTTCCCGCGGGCTCCATAACTCGATAGTGCACGCTAAAGCATGAACCAATTGTTAAATAAAAGTGCAGTATTCGGCATATGAAAATTATGGAAGAAAGGCGCGGTCAGAGAGGGAGGTCGGACATGTTTTCTTTTGCTCTGATGTATTTCCATCAAATGTTTTAAGGTTTTGACTTACTTTGTGCCCTAGACAACCTCTTTCTTAAATCCAAGCATTTTTTGCCCTCCTCTTTGAAGATTGCCATTTGCTTGTTGCGGCTATATTGTTTTTTTTTTATTCGTTTGTTTGACGTTGTGTTATGATGGCGGCTTCCAAGGTGAAGACTAATTTAAGTAATTTGGCAGAAGATTCAGCGCTCTCTTTTGCTAAGCAAATGGATGATTACATCAAATCTTCTACAGTGTTTAAAGAAGCCATTCTGAAAGCATTCAATACTGCAGTTGTAGATATAATTAAGCCAATCAATAAGGAGATTGCATTGCCAAACGAAGCTA